GAGTGAATGTGTGTGTGTGTCTGTGAGTGAGTGAGTGAGTGAGTGAGTGAGTGTGTGTGTGTGTGTGTGTGGGTGTGTGTGTGAGTGTACATATGTATTTAAAATAATACATTTGATTATTTATGGAGCACTTTTTGAGGCACTCATTTGCATATATGTTATTTATATGAATACAATTATGTGTATATATACTTATGTTAAATTATATTTTTAGGTAATTATAATGACAGTTTATATATATTATTTAAAATTACATTTATATAATTATGTTTATGTTTATACATAAAATGGGATATATATATATATATTCAGTATATAATGCATTTTATGTATAGAGCACTTTTCAAGGTACTCAGATGCATATATGCTGTGTATATGAATGAAATTATAAAAATGAGAAATATAATAAATAGTTTATTTAATACATAGAAATAGTATATTTAAACATGAATGTAAATATATGTAAACACATTTATGTAAACATTCATGAACTGCATGTAAAATTAATCAGGTCAAACAAGCTTTAAAAATGATTTTATATTTTTCATGTCGAATTAGGCATGCTAGGTCATATTTGTGTGTAATATATTTAATTTATATATAATGTTATGCTTTTACTTGTAAATTTCTGCTACTCCTATGCTAAAGCTAAGTCATGCAGGGTTCAAACGAAGGGGTCTGTGCTGCAGAAATGAGCGCTAACTCAGAAATTAGCATGTATATCAACTATGACTAATAGTACAGCAGGGTCATCTTCACTTCTTAATTATAACTGAATAAATCAGCCATGACGATAATGGCCCGTATCAAAGCACTGGGCTTAGGAGACAGCGGCTCATCAGGTCATGCTAACTGATTGATTCTTCAGCGTTGTGCATGAGGACAGAATAACAAACCAGCAGATCTGTGATTGGGTTTCCACTTCATAAAGCGTGTACTGAAGCTTTAAAGTGGAACGTGATGTTTAAGATCAAATGTAGATTTGCATAACCCTTTCAGGGCTGCACGTTTATTGGCTTGTGATAAATAATTGATTTGAATATGTGCTGCTTGACACAGTGTGGATGTAGCTTAGCAACACAAGTGTGTAGTCAGTCGTCAGGCAACCCTGTGGAGGCGTTTCTATGGTGAGTGTGTGTGAGTGTGTGTGTGTGTGTGTGTGTGTGTGAGTGTGAGTGTGTGTGTGTGTGTGTGTGTGTGTGTGTGTGTGTGTGTGTG